TTTCTAAAGTTTCCCGTGCACAACCGTTTGGTCAACATAAGCAAATGCTTCCTTTCCATTGTACTTATTGCAATCGGAAGGGTCATTTGAGTAATTTTTGTTATGACCGTGTTCGTGCACCATATATGCCTAAGAGGGTTCATAACCCTAAGGCTTTGAACTTTAATGATAGGGGTCATGTCCCTAAATCTTTTGGTACCAAGAGTTCTTGGGTACCAAAACAAATTTAAACTTTAAACCAAGAATTTTAGTGTTCTTACTTTTTCCTTTCTTGGTTTTAAAATTATGTCTTAAAATATTTTGATTATGAAAATAAATTTATAATTGATAAAATCTTTTGTTTTCATGATTATTTGTTTTGTTTTGATGAGAGGTTTGCATTTATATAACCCTCCGGATTTATTGGGTGTTTATTCCCAAATCATATTTACCGGATGCTAGAATGATTATTATATATACCCCATTGCTGATGTCTTTTCAAAAAAACGAAGAGAGTTTTAAAACTAGTTTAAGAAAGTTTTAATCAAGGGTTTAAGTTTGTTTTTAGTGTTTGTTTAAAAAGCTTTTAAGCATTTACAAGAGTTTGGTTTGTGGAGCAAATTTCACAAGAGCAAGTGGAGATCATCCTTGGTGTTTGAGCATTCATTCTTCTCCCTCTCTCTTGTCATCTATAGAGAAGTTTCCTTAAACTCAATTCTAGCATTTTATAAGTTTGTTCTTAATTTCATAAGCTAGATTTCATATTGAGTTTATATTGTTTTATCTCTTTGTTCACACACAACCTATTGAGCTTAGTGTATTTACATTCATAGTATAATTTGGGGTTGTGGGTTTATGACTAAGAGTTGTGCTTAATTGAGTTCTCACATTGTTTAGAGAACAATCAAATTGATTTATATTGTGCTTAATTGTGAGGATTCACTTGTAATACACTTGTACACCGAGAGAAGTGTGTGGTGAGAGACGGGGTCAAATCCAAAAGGAGTGGCGTCGGTTGACGTGCCTAGGGAGAGGTTGTAACCGAGCACTTGAGGAGGAGGACACGGGCTAGGACCAACACTTAGTGTGTGAGGTGTGATTGCATAGTGATTGTATTGTGAGGTGTAAACGTTGTTCGGGTGAACGTAGAAAACCCGGTTGTGATAGTGGAGATCTCCTCGAGGTGAGGAGCGGAGACGTAGGTCGTGAGGACCGAACTCCGTAATCATATTGTTTGTTTGTGATTGCATTGGCGCACTTACTTTTATGTTCATATCTTATATCGCCTTTATATATTGCTTGTTGATTATATTGCCCACTATCTAGTTTAGATTGTTTACTCTTGAGATTATATATCCTTGCATTTACATTGCCTATATCTCTTTGTTAGGATATATCTTGTTGTTCATATTGCTTATCCTAGCTCATATACATTGTTGTTTTTCATACTTGCTAGGATAACTTGTTAATTAGTTTTTAATTGGCATTTAATCGGATTAGATTAGCATAAGACCCTAATCACCCCCCTCTAGGGTCTAACATTTATGTGGGACACATGAGGTTGAAGGTTCCCTACTAGTGGCGAAGGAGGTTTGAGATTTATCTATTCATACATTCTAGATTGCTTGTCAACAAATCAAAGAATCGAAAGCTGCACTCTTTGATTGAGGGGTCGATTCTCAGGTTTTTCTCACTGGTCAGAAGGTGATGACTTGTCTGATTTTCAAATTATTATGAATAGGTCAGAAGGTAGTCCAAATTCTAACTGTAACAAATCAGACTAACTCTTAGCAGATTTCATGGTAGATAAGTAGTTGGCAATTATTGTAAAAGCACATACTCATGATGAGATTGGTATATGACCTTGTCTGGAAGTTTGTATAAGTATTATGGTATTCAGGAATTGAGAGCAATACACAATATTAGTTGGAATTTATGAAAGGCATACATGTACTCATTTAGTGAAAGTTGAAAACAATGTGAACCACAATAGTATACGACTTCAAGTGTAGATTGTGAAGGTATCAAGTTATTTATGGATTTAGGAATGATGAGCGGCTTCAATGGACATTGTGAAGATGTTTAGGTCCTCATGGTTTTGAGAATGATACGCGATACAATATAGAGCATTGAAGATGAAGCAAGTGATAAGAAAGATATAAAATTTGAGTCAAGATGGAGATTGCAGAATGTGATTCAAAATTTGAGCTATGGAATAGGAAACAAGTACCATAAGCACTTGACGATAATAGTGGCAACAACAAACAAAAATGATAGCAGAAGAAAGAAATTATAGCAGAATTCAAATAGGGTTTTGTCCCAATCCTCTCATGGGCATTAAGATGTAGCATGCTATATTTTTTAACAAAATATTCTACTGAATTCACTGTATTTTGACAAAACTGAGTTAACAAGAATTTGGCCAAATCTAGAGACAAGTTTTCAAAATGGAATCCTTATACAACCAGTATTTGAGTTAGAGTGTATTAGGAAACTCTTGTATAGAATAACTCTATAAATTAGGATCATTCCTTGGGTCTAAACAACAAGAAGGAACTTGAGGAATGATGGCCATGTGGAAGAGGCTAAAAGATTAAGCCATTAAGATCAAGAAGGTGAAGAAAAAGAAGAAGAAAAAGAGATTATTCTTGTAAGGATTTACCAAAAAAAATATTACTATAGTGAGGATTTACTAGAAACTAGGTGGACTACTCTTGTCAGGGATCAATGTGAGAAATATGTTATAATTTCTTTTTAACATTTATAGAAAAATCTCTCCTTTCTTTTATGGAAAAGGCACATTTTTGAAGCGCATAAAATCGTCTTTTTTACAATGATTATTGTTTGTTCTTGATTTCTTGATGTAATGTAATTTTGTAAAACCTAAATCTAGAGTTAGGGTTTAGCATCTAAAGCTAGATCTACAAAATTAGTGTAAAAGTGAACTGATTTTCATAACAGTCACTTCCTCTTAGCCTTATACATGAAGACTATATGGTACTCTGGCCCCCCGTGTTGGCATCCTCAAATCACAAGGACAAAAACAAATTTCCAAAGGCTCTAACAAGGTAAGGGGTATCTAGTAAATTAGAGTGCTAGGTGTCACAGACTTAAGTTTTTCTAAACTCATGTGTGGCACTTAGCAAGTCTCTCACTAATAAGTCACCAAGTTTAGCCTCTCTATCACTCACATAAATGGAAAATGTTTGGCAGTTGAAGGTTTGGTTGTAATGTTTGGCAATTCAAGGTTCTCCCTATAATAGGCTTCCACATTCTTCAAATGGAAAACTCTACAACCATTCATAATATGCATGGTTCTTCATAGTTCTTGACGTTTCTACTATTTTCTACTATATTCGATAATTTTTGATACATTCTAATATATTCCACACTACATGAGAACATTCCACTATGTTCTAGAGTGCTCTTACACATTTCAGAAATATTCAGAAACATTCTAGAATATTTTAGACCATTCTAGAATACTCGAGATTATTATAAAGAGGCTAAATTGCACTTGAATCCCTATTGTTTCTCAAAAAAACACTTATATACCCTAAGTTTTAAAAGGATCAAAATCATAGCCCAAGTTGTAAACAAAAGTGTAGTTAGCTACCTTCTATCAACTAGTCGTGAGAATATTCCGAAAATATTCTCACGTGCTGCCTTATGTGACTAATTTTCTTGCCAATTGTCCCTAGTTGTTGTATTAATTACCATTCTACCAAAACCCCTGACTTTTTATTAAATATCATTCCTACTACTTGTTCGACTTCATCTTCTTCCCTATAAACCCAAATCCAATTCCCCCCTAAATAGACTTCCTTGTTATGTCAAAATCAATCAAAAGAGGTGGCTTTACCTTAAAAAACGAATCGCCGAACTTGAATCTATGAAATCTCGGTATTTTTCTCCAATATGAAATGCTAAAATTAGGACCACCTACTGCAATTCATTGTGCTCCTCAACGAGAACTTTGGGAAAGAGAAAGAGATTTTGAGAAAATTGGTTGTAATTTTGAAGTTTTGGGAGTTTTAACCATGGGGAGTTATTTAGGTAGAATGGTATTTTTGTCTTTTAAGGTTAAATTTACATCATTATCCAATTTCACATGCGAACAACTTAGGGTATTTTTTTCTTTATTTTGAAACTTGAGGTATATAAGTGCTTTCTTGGGAAACAATAAGGCATTTCAGTGCAATTTAGCCTGATATAGAATTACCAACCTTGCCATGCCTACATGGCAGAAGTAATGATCTTTGAGGTGGGATGTGACATAGGGCAACTCAAGCAAATGCTGCCGGCAAAAGCCTGCGCTAGAGTACCACTTCTCATGTCGTCATGTCATATCTGACTTGGTTACGTCGGTAGCCGTGCAAGTCTCTTTTTTTTCCTTTCCTTTAATGACATAAGTCTTGCCCACGAGAGCCAATCTGAAGTGTGATCTAACAAAATGAAGAATTTAACGAAATACACAGGGAGACAAGTCTTCATCAAACTATATAAAGATTAAAACATAGGAAAAAAAAGAAAGTAAGTCGTGATTTCATGTGAGACTCCTCATCTTATTTCTAAAGTCCCTTAGGTTACTGTTTACTTTTCATTATCTTCTAGCTTAACGAATCGGCTGACTTGAGCATCAGAGGCGCGCATTATGTTCAGGACATTGCTAACAAACTAATCTATTGGAGTTAAAGTTGCAATTTAGACCCAACTACTAAAGTGCTAATTAAGTTCCAAAGAAAGGACTAAGTTTAAACTTAAAATGGGGTAGAGGTAATTACCCCTCCATTTTGTTAACACTAAATACGAACCTAGTAGGAAGAAAAGTTCCCTTTTTTTCTTTTTTCCCAGTTCCCATTCATATCTATGCTCATAGGACAGGTGAGCTGGAACCTACATACACTCACCCACATAGTCCCCCACCACTTTTGATGGATTCGAGCTGTAAATGTATTCCCCCGTTCCCTATATAAACCCATCCCTCGTCTCCCCTTTCCATTCAACACTAAATAACACAATCCTAATCCCACTCTAACCCCCCCTCTCCCTCTCTCGAGAACCAAAGGCATGGATTCAACATCCACCGTTTCCATGCTCTTCCTCCTCTCCTCTTTCCTCCTCTTCATCTTCCTCCCCTTCCTCTGCCTCCTCTGCACCCTATCTTCAAAGAAAAGGCCCACTAGCTCAAAAGCCCAAAGCCCACCTCTCCCTCCAGGCTCCATGGGCTACCCTTACATCGGCGAGACCTTCCAGCTCTACTCCAACAATCCCAACACCTTCTTCGCCCTCAAACAGAAGAAATACGGCCCCATCTTCAAAACCCACATCTTGGGCTGCCCCTGCATCATGGTCTCAAGCCCCGAGGCCGCCAAATTCGTCCTCGTCACCAAGCCCACCTCTTCAAAGCCCGGACGTTCCCGCGCCAGCAAGGAGAGGATGCTCGGCCCCCAGGCCATCTTTTTCCAGCAGGGAGACTACCACGCCCGCCTCCGGAGGCTCGTGCTACGGGCATTCATGCCTGACGCTACCCGCGCCAGCGTCCCCTGGATCGAGGACGTCGCGCTGCGCGCCCTCCGGTCCTGGGACGGGCGGGAAATCAACACTTTCCAAGAAATGAAAACCGTAAGGCTGCTGTGTTCGCTAGCTCTGGAAAAAAAAAAAAGTAGAAGAGTAGGAATATTTACATACGTGTGTCGGTGTGCTCATCAAGAAAATTTCCCTTTTGAATTTTTTTTTTTCAGTACGCGTTTAACGTGGCGCTCCTGTCGATATTCGGCAAGGATGAGATATCGTCCATCGAAGAGCTGAAGAAGTGCTACTACACATTGGAGAAGGGGTACAACTCCATGCCTGTTAACGTCCCCGGGACTCTGTTTCACAAATCGATGAAGGCCAGGCAGCAGCTGGGCCAGATTGTTGCGAAGATCATCTCGTCGAGGAGGCAGAGGAATGTAGAGGGGAGGGATCTGTTGGGTTCGTTCATGGAATCGAAAGAGGCCCTCACTGATGACCAGATTGCCGATAACATCATTGGAGTCATTTTCGCCGCTCGTGATACCACCGCCAGTGTTTTGACCTGGATCGTTAAGTATCTGGGAGAGAACCCTAGCATCCTCAAAGCGGTTACGGTAAGTTTTGAAGCTGCAAATTTATCCAGCTTTCCCACCCCAAAGAAAAAAAAATGAAAAAGAAAAAATTAAAGCCCCACGCACGCAGCTAAACCGATGTACAATTTTGTCTCCTGTAGGAGGAGCAGGAGGAGGTGATCAGAGAAAAGGAGATGGCGGGGGGAGGAGACAAGACTCTAACTTGGGCTGACACGAAGAGGATGCCTTTTACTTCGAGAGTGATTCAGGAGACCATGAGAGTTGCTTCCATTCTATCCTTCACCTTCAGAGAAGCAGTAGAGGATGTGGAGTACGGAGGTGAGATATTATTGAGTTTTATTATTTTCTTAATTAAGTCGAAGATTATAGAGTTTTATTTTCAACTCGGGACTAAAGGGGCATGTTTCTTCTTACTTGTACCGCAGGGTACCTCATTCCGAAGGGATGGAAAGTCCTCCCCCTGTTTAGGAACATACACCACAGTGCGGACAATTTCCCTGAGCCTGAAAAATTTGACCCCTCGAGATTCGAGGTAAAAAAAATATATATATATTTAAAAAAAGTTGGAAAAAAAAAAATTAAAGAATAATATCTTTTTCAATCATATATTCTATCGAGGGCGAAATCATCTGATCCCTTTCATCATGCAGGCAGCACCAAAGCCGAACACCTTCATGCCCTTTGGCAGTGGGACCCACTCATGCCCTGGAAATGAGCTGGCTAAGCTGGAGATTCTGGTCCTCCTCCACCACCTCGCTACAAAGTACAGGTAATCACAAGCCCACACCATTGCCATTCACATGAGTCGTTATCATTATCAGCCTCTTTCCCATAATTAGTAACACACACAAAAAAAAAAAAAAAAGAGTCGAGTCCGTGGAGCTATAAAATTTCCCCTTCCTGATTCTGATTCGATCATTGCTGGGTACCTTTCAGGTGGTCACTGTCTGGATCCGATACTGGAATTCAGTTCGGACCTTTCGCTCTTCCTCTGAATGGACTGCCCCTCACATTTTCTTTCAAGACGGAGAAATGAGGGGGCCGGGCTCGCTTAGTGAAAAAACCTAACATACTATCGGAACTTATGGCAACAAAAAAAAAAAAAAAAAAACACTGACAGAGAAATGAGGGGGCCGGGCTCGCTTAGTGAAAAAACCTAACATACTATCGGAACTTATGGAAAAAAAAAAAAAAAAAAAAACACTGACAAGCTCTTGTAGTCGAAAGCGATTGCAATTGCTCTACTGGATGGCAACAGGGTCATATATCATATACGGATACTAAACCGAGAACGGCATCGAGGAAGTAGTTTTCATTGTTAACGGGAGAAGTAAAGCAAAGGCTCCTTCCCTCGAGTTGTAGTTGTACAGGCATCGTCGGCGGCGCGTATACTAAGAGATTCAGGGTTTCAAGTAATCAGAATAACGGAATAGCGGACAAATTTTTTTTTTTTCTCCTTTTTTCGTGATTTTCAAATTTTCTTTCGGTCGATTTTTTTTTCCCGAAGGGGGGGAAAAATTGAAAGGGAGGAATCATAAGAGACGTCGGTATTGTTATTCATCAAGGTAGTATCAAGGATACAGGAATAACAAATATGAAACTTTCAACATATTTCTTTTGAGAGTATGGTATATATTATTTAATGCTAATCGTCTCTACTGGCTGCCAAGGATCGTGATCCCATAAAAACTATTGTGCGAATTGACTTTTGCCTCTCTGAATCATTAACATCCCCCATTCAATGATGAGTAATAAAAGTAAACTTTGGTAGGCGTTGTTTATTAGAATTTGTCAACTAGTGTGGGTCTGGACCACGTACATCAGGCGCTAACATTAAGAAATAGCTGCAAATTAACTCGGTCAGAAACTATTTAATCGGAAGATTACTTCTTGATCAAAGAACCTACAGTGACTTGTAATTTAGTCCGAGATTTGGATGGGATTGACCAATTACCGATCGATTTCTTCTTGATTAATTATAAGAACTGATAAAAGAACAACGTCAACTGGTCATGTCAGCACAAGCTAACAACACCTGTGAAGGTTGCACCATGGAGATTATACGCTAACCATAGATAATTATTATTAGCGCCACAACTCAGCTTAGTTTCTAGGGTCTGATTATTCTGGTCATGGTATCGCAGCGCGCTCCATGTTTTTCAAGAGATTATATTGTTGACCTTATTAATATCAAACCACATAGCCCTCAACATCGTATACGGAGGTCTTTCCACGTGTCCCACAAAATCTCATCAGAAAAAAAAAAATTTATTAAGAATTACTGTTAGCTTTTGGTATACGTACAACTCATTAGCTGAGTTGTTATGATAAACTGGCTCTACACAGAATGTACGTCTTAGACTTGGGAACCTTCCCAATTTGCTTGTAAGATTAAACTAACCGTCATTAGATCTAACGCAGGTTGTTTAATTTTATATCGCCCACAGTTGCAAGTTTAGGTCAAAAACAATGAGAAATGGTCCTGTTACTAATCTAAAAGAGGTCAGATCTAATCAAGGGGTCAAAAAGTTTAAAAATATATTTATCGAGAACCAGATTCAAAGTTTCCGTGGGCAAATGTGAGGCTCTTCACAGTCCTTAAAGGATGATATATATCTCTCTCTATTATTACTACTAATAATTAATTTATTCATTAAATCAAAGCTTTAAGTTGACCGCGCCTCTCTAATCCCCATGAAGACTCTTGGGGGAGCTCTCTAATTAAGCAACAGAATACGGATCAAGATGAGACAAGTAGTATCTGATACTCCAAGTAAAAGAATCTTCAATCAGTAATTTTTTGCTCAGAAGGGGGAGAAGAAAATACTTCAATTTATTTGTATCTTTGTTCTTAAATAGACGCGTACTGTTCAATACTTGAAGCCTGCTCGGGATCAAAATGCTACAATGCCCAATTTCAACTCTGTTGTTATATGGGAAACATGCGTTTGGGAAGTAACACGTATACACATTAATTATACCCGTTACTCTTAATTTCTCAAAAATACTATCAAAATTTGCTGACACATGTTCATCTCTTTATAATTACATCAACCTGTTCATCCTTTGAATATAGCCCGTAACTTGAGTTTAGCCAAGGTGGCATCTCTTTAATAATCACCGTCTAATTAATTACTCGTCTGAGGTCAGTACATTAACGTTAATCCTATCTTCATCATCAACCCTTATGTAGTCCCATAACCACCTTTGTCCAGGACTTAATTACTAATTTGTGAAACCTCATGCCTTCTATTTATAGCCCCAACTTTGTAATCTAATATTTAGTAGAGTCTCAAGCAAGCAAATGAGAAAATGAGATAATCCTTATATCATTCACAACAAGAGCGTTGCCGACAAATATTTTCCTAATCCTATGCTAATGAACAAATATTCTAATCTTTTATACGTATCTCTTTTTGAACGAGGTTTAAATTAAAGATACTTGTCTTCGTATGAAATGCGCTATATATTATCATAGTACCGTCCATATGCTAGCGAGCAGTTTAGTTTACTGAAAAGCTAATCTTGTATTGTCAAGCTAATCACAATGTACCACATGAAGATTGAAGTATTAAGTGTTTTTTCTAGTATTGGCCGGTGCCAAATCATTTCCTTCCATTGTTATTTGCTTCCTTCTTACTTTTCCACTCTATCAAAGAGAAATTGACAGCCTTCCAAGTGTTCTTTAAAGTCGGAGAGAGAACAAAAAATGTTTGTTCTCTCTTGACCATAAATTTATAATGTATTCATCTCAAAAGTTAGTAGAAAATTTCGTACGAAATGCATTTATGCGTCTAGAGACTAGAATCCAAACTTTATAACATGGAAAAGAATTTTACAGCACACTATGCAACCACATCGGCACGTACAAATATCTGCGGAGTTAACACAATGAAGGGTATAGATAAGAAGAGGAATTTGCACCAGTGGAAGTTGCATGAAAAGAGTGTGGTGATTGAAGAAGCAAATGAAACTATAAAGTCAACAACAAGAAGTTTTGTAACCACAATAGGTATGGCAATAAGAATCAAAACCTTATCTCTTCGAGCTATGAACCACAATTTGAAGAGAAGAAGCCCTCACAAAAGAACAAACATGATACTACTGCTATAGCTTCATAATTTGTATCGAGCCAGTGGACTTGAATCCAAATGGAGGAGAAAATAGGATCAATTCAATTTTATCCTTTGCATGTGTAAAATAAAGAAAACAAAGATATTGTTAAATGTTGTATTAGTAGGAAGTAGATATAATTAAATAAAGAACACTGAGATTAAAATTAAATTGATATTTGAGGTTTTTACTTGCAACTATGACCACAGAACGAGAATTGTTAAACATGGAAAAATTCAGAGGAGAGTTCAAGGTATTAGAAACAATTAACTGTTTGAAGAAGTTGAAAACGATAACTATGAGCATCAATTTATCTGCTTGTCACAATTGCCACCACACATTTTGCATTCCTTAATATCTTCAGATAGGTGTGAGTTTGAAGTTTTGTGCAGGTTACAACGACACTTATCAGAAAAAAGAAATTATTTTTTTGATGCATTAACATGCATGAAATTTAGACTAATAGGGACTAGTAGGAAAATAGAAAAAGTAAATACAGACTTGTTATTTGGGGGCCAAATTACCAGAAAATAAGTTGGGCCAAATTATCAGAAAATAAGTAACCAAAAAGGCCCCTTAAGTCCCACATTGAATTCTGATTAATAGCCCATCCAGTATCTGAGTCGATCTTTAATAAAGGGCTCAAGTGAAGCCCATTCTAAATTTTGCAGTTTCTTGTTTATATTCAACGTTGTTATAATTGCTATAAAAAAAGGGATTTTTTTTGCCCTCTCTTGAAAGTTCCATAGCTTTAGGAGTTCGATGAATTGCCTGAATGAAAGTGTTTTTTTCCTGGTTTTATAACCGATTGTGGAAGTTTGATAGGCACTAGTAAAAGACGTAGCATCCTAGACGGATTATCCTAAACGAAAAAATAGGTGACGACAATATTGACGGAAAACATCCGTTTACGATATTCCGTCTAGGATGAATCATCCTAGACAGAAATTTTCATCGAGAATACTTCCTAGACGAAAATTTAGATGGGACACATGCAAAGAAGGTTAAAACACAGAGACTATGCCCTAGTTTTTGAAAATTTGCTCCAAATTCGAGATGGCAAGGGACTCATTGGTCGCGGCTGCCGAAGCGCATTTCAAAAACCCTAAAAATAACGTCTCAGCCCTCGGACTTCGCTGACCCCGTCGAATCGGCGCCCATAGAGGCTGAGGAGTACCGAGTGTGGAAAAAAAACACCCCTTACCTCTACGACTTCGTCCTTAGCCACGCCCTCGAGTGGCCCTCCCTCACCGTCGACTGGGTCCCCCCTCCTCCACCACCTCCAGCCGGCGGTAGCGTGCCGCCAACACCACCGTCACCTCCCATAGGGACGCTACACTCTCCGACATCCGTCCCCAAACATCCTCAATGCTGGCCGCACGTCTCTTCCCCTCGCCCTCCAATCCGACTCCCTCCTCACCCTCCGGCCACTCGTTTCACCATCGACATGCAGGGCTGTCTCGCGTACGTGAACGAGATCAACAGGCCCCGCACATGCTTTTAGAAAGCCTAATTTGGTCGGGAAGAAGATCTATGGGTCAGAAGTGCTGTGCTTGATCTGAAGGAGGAGAAGGAGACCGGTGGGCCGTAGGCAGTGCTGAGAGTGCACGAGATGGAGGGGTACGGGGTTGATTGGAGCACGATGAAGGAGGGGTGGTTGAGAAGTGGGGATTATGATTCGAAGATTTGCTTTTTGGCCTGTTTGGATGGAGGGTAGAGAGGGGGAGAAGATGATAAATGTAATTTTAATCTTGTTTGGGAGTTGTATTTAAGAGGATAGATGAGGGGAAAATTTGTGTCAAAATGTTACACCCCAAATTAGGGGGTAATGAAGGGGAAGGGAAGAAAGGAAAAAAATTCCCCTTCCTTCCCCTTTCTTCCCTTACCTAAGTGAACTCCCAAACATACCATTTGGGATGTTGGGGGTTGTGGAGGGGGGAAGGTTTTGGATGCTTGCCATGTGTTCGAGGTAATGCCTGTTTCAAATTCTATTTCATGTTACCCTTGTTGTATTCAGGGAAAAAAAATAAAGTTTAGGTAATATTTCAAGAGAAAGCTGTCATTTTTTGTTGTTTAACAAATTTATCAAAATACGGGACTCCAACATGACTCTTTGTGTACTTCAATGGGTAATTTTTGGAAATACTTGCTACTAATTTGATTGTTATAAACTGATTTCCCTATACTTTCTTTCTTTAATGAATATAGTTATATTTTGCTTACATGTTATACCCATTGAAGTACACAAAGGAGTAGAATAGATGTAAGGGATCGAGAGATAAAGGCAGAGAGAATGCGCTTCGACCATGGCGATGCCAGATCCATCGACACTGGATTCATTAACGACGACGCCACTGTCCTAACCGACCTAGCTATCGAGACAACGACTTCTGTGGCTGCTGATTCTTTTCCTCCCGTGGCCACGCTCCAACACTTGATTGATATTGTTCATACTTATAGTGGGGTTAATTGGTTAGTATTTTTTTTGTGTTTCGGTGTTTGACATGTTGAAATTTGCTAATTGGAGAGGAAATTATGTGATTTGGTTATTATTTTGTGGTAGGTGGGCTTCGATTGTGTTAACGACGATTTTGATTCGTGTGACTGTGCCGCTCTTGTTAAATCAGATGAGAGCTACAGTTAAATTTAGTATGAGTTGTTTCGTTACAATTTATTTATTTTTCATAATTTATGGTTAAATTGTTTGATACTAGAAAGTTCGCTTTGTGTGCAATTGATATCTTCATTGGTAGTCACTTGTTGTTCTTACATATGTATCAATTTGTATGAATCAATGTTGTGTTTTCTAAAACATTAAAAGTGTGTTAACTTAATAGAATTCACTACCTTTAATTCCCATGTCAACAAAAAGTACAATCTGAACACGCAGATAACCTCCACCCTTTACTCTAATGCCCACAACAGAATTGTTTTTCTGTGCTTGACTTATATAGAATATTATGTATTACTGAATCTCCGTTTGAGTTTAGAGCTCTAGAAGTTGCTTTGGAAGCAATTTGTAGCTTTCATGATGCTCGAACAACAGAATTGGAGACTGCTGCTTACCCTGCATCGGATGAGCTCACTTCGAAGGTATTTTACTTATTCTGTTCATTGCCCCCTTTTGATTTTATGAAAGTTAACGGATGAGCTCACTTCGAAGGTATTTTACTTATTCTGTTCATTGCCCCCTTTTGATTTTATGAAAGTTAATACATTCGCTATGAAACATACAGAATTTCTTATTCTGTTCATTGCCCCCTTTTGATTTTATGAAAGTTAATACATTCGCTATGAAACATACAGAATTTGCAAGTTAGAACCTCGATTAACGGCTCCGGTATTCCTCTGATGCTAAGTTAGGACCTCTCCCAAGATAGTAAAAATGGTAAAGAGTGGTAAAATCCTAGTTGGTTGGAGAAAGTTACCACTCTTCATTTCTTTTATGGAGGATTAAATGGTTGCGATTGGAGGGGAGAGGGAAAAGATGACTTGCGTCATTGTTGAACTGATCGGGATAAGACAATTGGTACTTGGACCGTTGTTCTTTATTTCTAAATAGGGGTCCGACTACGGATGCCAGACACTGTAGGTGGTTGAAAAATACAAGTCTTTCAATGAGATCACCATTGAGCACTTAGGTCATTTTGAAGGAAATTTGTGCTAAATCTACATGCAATATACGTAACGGAAGACAATATATACAAAAATACAAAGCATATAGAGAGCATGAAATCCACATCAGGACCATCCTAATTAAATCTAACATGACCTCTATATTAAAGAGAGCATCCAAGAGTTAGAAAGTCATAATTTCGAAGCGTGATTCGATGCTAGATCGATCAACCCCTAGCTCATGCTTCTTGTTATAGTAAACCTCCTCGTGGTGGATCTCCAAAACTTCAAGTGAACTTGGAAAAATTGAAGGCTTCTTGAGACACAAGGTACGATATCCACCCTGGGGTTCTTAAAACCCTACTACTTCCTCTTACTCAAAGATTGCTAGAGTTCATGCCCCGCTTCCCAAATACCTGAGAATCGGAACGTGAACAAGCCCGCGACGTATTAGATTGAGGAGAAATATACACTAAATTTTCTTTCTTTCTTTTTCTTTTCTTTTTAATCTAATATGCAAAGCGTCAAACACAAGAATATCAGTCACAGATTCCCGATCACAATAGCAAGAATATAATAACAACCCAGAATAAGAAATATACATATCATCAATAGTAAATCATCCCAGACATAAAAATATAGGTCAAACATACCCTTATTACAAAAATGGTCCAACTAGGAATTATAAAATACATAGTCCATAAGAAAAGAAAGTACTGCTAAAAATACTAAATCCATCATCAACTAAAGAAAAGTACGGTAAAAGAGTTCTAATGTTCCATAGCTACTACAGAAGAAACCACTATGCTTCAGTTTGTTCTTCCACTCCATCGGAAGGACACTTCGGCTGGGCATACACTGACTCTGCTGTATCATCGAACTGGACTTGTTCGTCCTCTAAGTCTGACGTACACCAGAGAAAACAAGTGTACGTCAGCGTACATGTCACACGGAAAGATCCCACATAGAAAATGATGCAGTCAACGATACATGCTATGACAGTAATAATAATAATAGGAAGACAAGGGTACATGCAACTAGAAATCTACTAAGTCAAAATGTAATCGTATACTAAACATGATAACATACAACTATATATATACAGTAACTGAGTCGAATACTAACCATCCTAAAACTCACTGGTCCACCTCTCAAATAGGTCAAAGTTCGCATCACCGAAAGACTGACTGTTCACCATCCCCTACACACATCCAATCCCGCGAAACAGGCAGGTAGAAGACTACATGCAATCCGTTCTCGGACTGGTCCGGACTCAGGCAAGGCTCAGTTGACGAAACAGGTCACGGACCCAAGTGGTAAAACAGGTCACTTGGTCCAACAAACCAACCACAGGATGAAACAGGTCACTGGTGCGAGCCTAGAAGTTAAGTCAACAATCACATTCGATCATGCGAACCAAGACTTTCCCATCCCAACTCTTTTCGTTTTTCTAAGTCGACGATCATAATCCCTGTTAAAACTCTGGTTCACTACCTAAATTCAGTCAACATACCCACACATGTCACTAGGTCTATTCATGATGCACGAGGCCACTCAGTCATGAACTACTAAGGTTTTCAATCACAACAAGAAGATAGTAATAACACTAATTCTATACAATAATAACATAACATGTCGATCATGATTAAACAAGTTTGTAAAGCATGAATAATCACTACATTAAAACATGGAATGCATGAACAACCTACCACAGTATCAATTCACACATAAATAGGTTTTATTGATAACTTACTACAGGGTGTCCAAACTTCTCATGTAAGCTAACCGTAAGTAAGTATCCTCTAATATAATAATACGGTAAAAAGAAAACTAGAAACCGATGTCGTTTTGCACATGAAATGCCGCGCTCTACGACTATCAGTTATACGTTCTTAATTAATAAATATTGTTTTTCCAAAATTATTCTTTAAAACTATTTCTCATTATAACTAATTTAAAAAATAATATATTTATGTAATATATATATTTGTTAATTCTTTTCTACATGAATAGTAATATTTCCCTATTTTATAAATTACCTTTAATTTTTTTTTGATAATATTTCGTAAATTCTAATTTTAACACTTAACTTGTTATTTCATGTCCGTAAATTCTTAGATGTAATTATACTAAATTATTAATGTTTCATAAAATCTAATTACAATACATTCGTTTATCATTTCATGCTCGTTAATTTTTAGACATAAATACAGTAAAATATCTTGTTATTTATTACTAAAAAAATGTTATCTAATACCATATATCAGCATTCCACGTCAAATATACAAATTAACAACATTAATATATCTAACTAAACATTTAAGCGATAATAAATATAAAAACATCTGATTGAGAGGCGAGATCTTGTCTCAGTGCGTCGAACAAGTCGACGTCGATGACATGGATCGGATCAGACACGGTGGAGCATGACATCGGAAGAAACTCTGGCGAGGGGCAGCGGCGAGGGCTGGCTGGTGAATTTGCCAGCGTAGTGGGCTTCAACGACAGCGAGTCGGTTGTCAGGGTCTCAGGGTAGGGTTTTGGTTACGGGGTTATATATATGTATATATATAATATTAGTTAGGGTTTGGTATTTAAATGAAATAATTAAAATAAATAATATAGGTACTTAAAAAATTAAACTAATAACGAAATAATTATCTACAAAATACATACTAGTTGTCTGATACGCAACTGAAGAAATAATACTATAAATTATACAATTAAACAAGAATAATTAATAAAACATATAATTACTTATTTTAAAAATCAAATAATTATGTACGTGATAAAACGTACCAGTTGTGCTAATACGACAGATAATATGCAATAGAAATAATACACTAAATTATACAAATAGTACGTAAATCATAATACACGAATAATACATAATAGTAATAATAATATAACGTATTATTTAAAATAATACGTAATAGTACTGATAACACAACAGATTAATTTCAAAAAATTTTATCGCACAAAATAAATTTATAAATATTAAAATCATTTAAATAAAATATAAAATTTAGACTTTTAAATCATAGAAATTTCTAGAAGGGCGAGAAAAATACAAATACTCTTCTAAAATAATAATTTAAATAT